CTCTCCTCCTCGCCTTCCCTCTCCTCCTCGCCTTCCCTCTCCTCCTCGCCTTCCCTCTCCTCCTCGCCTTCCCTCTCCTCCTCGCCTTCCCTCTTCTCCTCGCCTTCCCTCTTCTCCTCGCCTTCTCTCTTCTCTCCTCTCTTTTCCTCTCCTTCTCTCTCTTCTTCTCATTTTCTTTCCCCCCATGAATCCTCATGCTCTTTTTTTTGGTGGTTCCACTATGACGATACAGCCTCCTTCAACAGGAGATTGTTACTGGGTGATGTCTCCTCCAGGCCAAACTTGTGTTTGCTCTGAACATTCACAGAATGGAAAATAAAGTATGCCTGCACTTCTCAAAGTTTTGGAACTTATGATAAGGAGACTTTATTGTCTCTGGCACTGTAGATGATATTTGGCAGTGGATCATTTCAAAATCACAGGGTATTCAGTAAATATCATTATTGGTATGCTATCATTTATTACAGCGCTCTGTTCTGCTCCTGTTGCAAAAAATATCTGTCAGTTTGTATTTACTGTTGGGACAAGATCTGTCCTCAGGGCCAGCTGGAAACCATTTGCTTTGTAAATTAGTGTCCTTAAAAAGTCAGTGGTACCACAGTACCATAATGTTGAGTTATTGACAGAAAATGATTGCTGTGCTTTAAAGCTGGCTACTGTGGTCTTGACCTGACATTAAATAAATGTGTCAACAGACCTTTCCAGAACTGAAAATTCAAAAAGATTACTAGCAAGAAAGTGTCAAATTAAAAGTCTTGCTTCTGTTCTTCTATCATAATATGAAACTAAACCCTACTAATGAATAATAATACAGTCAATATTTTCTTTCTCATTCTAACAAGTCATATAGTTCCATTTATTCAAATATTGTTTGTGAGCTGTGTCAAAATTCCTTAGAGTTTTAAATTAGATTGAGTTTTGAAGTTAAGGAAATAATCCACGTGTCCAAATTAAACAGACTTCTGGTTAGAGAAGCCTGTAATTGATCCAACTATAATTTTCATGGGATGCAAGTCTTTAAAGGGATGTGGTCTACAGAAGGAATTTGCTACTGAAAAGGGCCTGCACATTTCTGTACTTTAGAAAAATCTTTAAGTCCCCAACTGCATTCTGAACCACCTAAATATCATTAAAATGAATATGGCTATACCAAGCTCCCAAGATTCCAGAATAAAAACATAAAGCCAGAAAACCTGTTTTTTAAAATTGTTTTAAGTAGTTTATATGACATGAAAACAGACAACTTGTGGGAGAGCAGCATATTTTGAGGAGCAGGCAAATTGCTTGATTGTATTACCTCTGTGATTAAATGCTAGTGGTAAGAGACACATGATCAGTGATTTTCTTACCTGATTTGTCCTTTTCTAGCTAAAGAAATTGTAGCCTTTAGGTAGTTTCTATGGGTTGAAACAGAAGATCTTTTAGATTTTTAGATTCTTTAGGTAGAATAATCTTGAAATTTCTGCTTGTTTCTTTTAATTATAAAAATGGGTTCTTGCTGTTACGTTTTTCAGTCCTGTTCATTTCAGTAGAACTGCACAGAATATAAATCAGGATAAAAACTTTCTCTTAAAAAAAGAATATTTCCAGCAGTGAAACATCTTTTTTTTATTAGAACATTCCCTTTTGATTCTAACAGTTTTTAGTGACTCATTTATTATAAAGCATATTTCAGTATAACCAAGATAACCTGCACTTTGGTAATCCATGCACTCTACACTTACACAGTCACTCTCTCTTCACTTCTTAGCTATGATGATTACCAGTAGTGAACCAACATTTGCAATTATTTCCTTACTTTTACAAGACTTTATGTGTATTGCTTCTGACTCCAATACTCCTTTAAGTCTCAAAGCCTCTATTTGACTCAAGATTTCTCTTGTGCCTGTATAGCTTGAGTGAACTCTGTACAGAGTATGCATTTGTTTTTCTGGAGAGTATTTCAAACCATGCTTCATATACTGCTACAATGAAAAACAAGTTTTATGGTGTGCATTATTGTATGGAAAGTTGTATAACTAATATGGAAATACTCTTCTATAAAACACAGTGGCATGTTTGCCATGTTTTCTCTCTGACATCTTACTATTAAGTTACATATCTTAAGTGCTAAGCTCTTTGAAAATATATATTAATAAAAATCTCCAGTGACAAGTTATGGGATGAAGTTAGAAAGTTCTTTATGTATTTTTGCTATCAGTCAATCACTGTACCAGGTTTAAACTGTTGCCACTGATGTATTATTGTGCAGTTCTGAAAGTAATGACATTACAAGAGTAAAGTTTTGTATGAAAGTTGCTTTAGAAAAAGTTATATGGGATTTTATTAACTATGTTCCTTTCAGCTGGTTTATTTTTCATACTTAGAACTGCACATTTTAAGTGTTGCATTTCATATCAGATATTTATATTTCAGCATATAATACGGTAATTAAGTTCTGCAAATGATTATGGATATGAGAGTTTTTAATATGTAGATAATCCATCTGTCTTACATAAAATTCTGTGTATGCACTTTGTCTTTAATTCTTAAATGCATCTTACATTTTCAGATGGTTATAATATAATGCATATTTCCTTCTATAGCAAAGACATTAAACTTTACCATATTTTCCCTCATTTCATTTTACCAAGTTTCTTCTAAGATGAAACATTAGAATTCTGTTGGCAGAAATGCTGTCTGACACTTGGTCATAAAAATGGCAGGCGAGGAGCTATGGCAGAAGCTTGCCAAATGTTATCTTCATTCAGTCTCTTACTTTTATGGCCTGAGATTGCTGTATCTAAGATTATTTACCAGGACAAGACCTTTTTGGAATGCTATAATTTAATTTTTTCAAAATTTTGCATAGTGGTATCAGTATATTTTAGAATATTTTAACTGTATAAAACGAATTATCAGTATAGCTTTTATCTTTTTTTCTACCATAATACAACGCATTGACTTTAATATTTTGGGGTTAAAGATTTATAGATATATTTATCTATATAGCTTGCCTTATGGCAGCCTTCCAGAACTTAAAGGGGACCTACAGGAAAGAGGGACTCTTTATCAGGGAGTGTAGTGAGAGTATAAGGGGTAACGTCCTGAAAGATGTTTAAAGGTTTTAAACTGAAAGAGGGTAGATTAGATTGGCTATAAGGAGGAAATTCTTTCCTGTGAGGGTGGTGAGGCCCTGGCACAGGTTGCCCAGAGAAGCTGTGGCTGCCCCCTCCCTGGCAGTGTTCAAGACCAGGTTGGACGGGGCTTTGAGCAACCTGGGCTAGTGGAAGGTGTCCCTGCCCATGGCAGGGAGGATGGAACTAGATGGTCTTTAAGGTCCCTTCCAACCAAATAATTTTATGATTCTATGATTTATCAAATTATACTATTATTAGTTAAATTACTTTAAATATTAAATCAAATTAAATTGAAATTATTTAATTAGTTTAATTATACTGTGTTAGTAAAATTAAAAAGACCTCTGAGGCAGAAAATACAGAAACTCTTCACAGGTAGTTTAAAGTACTATATTTAATCCACAAAGCTTTAGTCCAAATTATATTGTCTCAAATATGTTTAGGAGAGGTGTTTTAAGAACAGTTGTTTTAATATAGGTGAAACTGCTGATAGTTCATGGAAAATCTTCTTTTGAAACATCCCTGTCATTCTCCATCATAGCTTGAATTTATGAGCTTTTAAGCAAAGCCATCTTTTCATAATCTTTGTTAAGGCTGTTAATGAGAGTAATTATTGACATTCTGCTATAAAATGTATGTTTAAACTCCTAAGAAATAAGTATTTAATTTGAAAATACTTCTGGTTGTTTAGGATAGATGAATATGTATCACTTAATAAAGCATTAAATTGCTTCTTATTGATTGGTTTTTAATATCATGTATGTCTGGTTTTCTGATGTAGATTTTCCGTTATGTAAATTTAGTTGATCTGGCAAGATGTGCTCAGGTTAGCCAAACGTGGATGCTACTAACTCAGAACAGTTCGTTATGGAGTGATGTAAGTAAGATGATCACTTTCAATATGTTATTTTAATTTTATTCATTTTTAAAAAGAGCGAGGCAAGGAGGTGGTTTAAAAATATTAAATATCTAGGATAAAAGTTTTATCCCAGGATATGACATGTTCTACATTAATAAAAAATTTAGGAGCAACTCAGATGAAGTTGTCTGTGGTACATCATTATAAAATCAGTGGAACTGAAAGAGAGTTGGCCACTAAGGCTTAGCTATAGCCCACTAAATTTAGACAGTTAAGTGAGGTGTCTTAAGCTCCCTAGGTAATCTGAACAGGCGTTATATGACTACTGTGGAAGGAGAATGTAAACTCAGTTGCAGATACTCTGAGACAACTTATATTTGCTCTACAGAGACTCTTGTCATCCCTTGAACAAGTGGTGCAGACCAGCTCACTTCCATACTTGTGAACTTTTAAGAGTTGTTGAGGTGGTCGCTGTCTCCAGAGCACATGTGAGTGTCCAAGGTGCTGCGTTGTTTCTTCTACCTTAGCAGTGCAATTCTTTAGCACACACATTTCAGTCAACTTGCATTCTAATGCACATTTTGCGACCATGCTAGTATGGTCTGTTTGGGGCCACATCTGACATAGCTAATCTGAGTCTTTGCCTTGAACTTAAAAATACAATCACACAGCTCATTGCTGTTGCCTTCAGCATGCTCATGATTGGCTCCAGTGAGAGTAACCAGGGTCAGCCACCCACCAGAGACTGCCAGTCAGCCCTGTAGTGAAGAGGCATCTCCAAGGTCAAGTAAGGAAATGAAGTCCATGGGTGAGGGTCAGGGTCAGCCAGTCACATGGCTGGACACAGACACGCCTAATATGTGGTTCAAGCAAAGACTCAGGGCCAGAACTTGAGCTTAAGGGCCGCTCTGAAACCAAGTGGGGAAACCCCTAATGAGGCTTCTCCATCTCTTTCACATAGTGAACTGTTTTATCCGGGATTACACTGCTGCACCATGTAGGATCTGACCTTGGACTCAAGTATCGAATCCCCTGGGGAAGGAAGAGGTTGCAGAGCCTGTTGGTGAACCCAGGGCCCTGACACTAGGCACCTCTGTCCCACTTGAAGAGATCCATTTGCGATCCAGAAGGGGAACTGAGGCTGAGAAGAGATTTGAACTTGGGTCTTCCAAATATGCTGTTCTGTCCCTGGAGTGGGTGGGACACAGGCTTTAGTTCCCAGGTAGCTGGAAATGAATTCCTGACTGAGGTGAAGCAGTTCCGGAGAGCTCACCAATGCTGCTTACATGTCCTACTGTCTGGTTCTAGGCAGCAGGTTGTTCTCCCTGTGAGTTTCTTTAAACTGACCACTTGATGCGCTTAGCTGTCATTTATATTTTGTAGTCTCTGCTCAGATTTGTTGTATCTACCCTGGGCACCAACACCTAAAAGTCACTGCAGTGCCCCAGCTTGTAGGTCCTTGGAGCCTTTATTAGGTCTAGTCTTAAGTTACTATGATGAACTTATGATCTTCATGAAAACTGATAATTTTAATGTAAGAAGGAAAAAATCCTAATAAGAGATTGAAAAACTGAAAAAAGTTTTGAACTTCTGACTTCCTGGTACTGTAACCACTTCCAAGCATTCTGCTTAGAAATAATGGCGATTAATTTTTCAAAGTGTTTGGGTAATAAACATGTATTATGAAATGTACAACAAACTGGTGCGGTATAGCTGTAGCAGTTTATGAGAAAAAAGGCTTTTCTGGATTTTTTATTAATAAATTTAAAGAAGACATGAAAAAGTCTTCTCCAAAAAAGGAGATATTTCTTATTGTTTTTATGTTGGCTTGCCTGCTTTTTTTGAAACACTCTATAGATAGACTGTTAAAACTATTTTCTAGTAATTTTTGTTAAAACTTCTTAAACTTGAAATTTTGACAAATACTAAAAAAAAATTACAGTTTCAGGCTGATGATATCTAGATCTTTGATATCATCAGCCTGCAGCTTAAATCACGTAAGGATTATTGTCCTAAAACTAAGATGGTAGGTTACATGATCTTGATCTCTTGATGTATCAGTAGATGTTAGCAACTTTAGGATCTTACACATATTAAAGGGAAAAAATAAAGTAAATATTCAAGTCTGACAATTTTCTCTACACATAATATTCTGGGATGTCACATTTCATCAGTTCAAGACTTGCCTCAGTTTCATAAATACTGTAGATACATGCTTTCACTACATTTGAGTATTTCTAGTCAGAGGTCTAGAATTTTTATATATGTAATACACAGACATTTCTGTGTTTTCCAGACTATTGATTCAGTGTTTACATAGAACTTCATATATTTACTAGTGATTTCTGTAATGATGTGTATTTTGTATGTACTACCTATTTTTGGTGCTGAATTATGTATCAATTTCTTAAATTTTTAGATCAATTTTTCATCAGTGAAGCATAAAGTTCAGGACCAAATAGTAGTAAATATTTTGCAGAAGTGGCGTCCATATGTATTACATTTGAATTTTCGAGGTTGCTATTCTCTTCACTGGCCTACCTTTAAAAGTATCAGTAAGTATTACATGTATTTTTAAAATTTTAATTATCTTTTTAAACTGTGTCTTCACTCTATGCTTTGCTATTGTCCCATTTTGCTGCCTATGTTCTTCTTTATTTGTCCAGCCATAATGAAGCAATGTGAGTATGAGATCTGTAAAATTACTTTAAATTCAGCCCCCATTCTTTCATTACAGTCTCCAGGCCCAGCAATATCCATATGACTGAACATTGCTAGAACGCCATAGAATGATTTATATTATGTGTGAAATGCTGTAATATGACAAATAAGATTGGAATGCAGACATGTGCTTAAATATATCAGAATGCCAGAATCCAACTCTACTGAGATAATTATCACAGAATGTTTGAGGTTGGCAGGGACCTCTGGAGGGCGCCCAGTCTGACCCCCTGCTCAAGCAGAGCCACACAGAGCAGATTGCCCAGGACCATGTCCAGATGGATTTTGAATATCTTGCAAGGATGCAGACTCCACAGCCTCCCAGGGAAACCTGTGCTCAGCCACACTCAGAGTAAAACAGTGTTCCCTGATGCTCAGACGTCACCTCCTATATTTCAGTTTGTGCTCATTGTCTTATGTCTCCTCTGTCACTGGGCACCTCTGAAAGAGCCTGGCTCCATCTTCTTTGCACCCACCTTTCAGGTATTTATATACCTTGGTAAGAACACCCTGAGCCTTCTCCAGCTGATCAGTTGCAGCTCTCTCAGCCTTTCCTTACAGGAAATATGCTCCAGTCCCTTAATAATCTTTTTGCCCTTTGTTGGACTCTCTCTAGTATGTCCATGTCTCTCTGGTACAGGGGAACCCAGAACTGGACACAGTACTCAAGGTGTGGCCTTACCAGTGCTGAGTAGAGGGCAAAGATCCTCCCTTGACCTCCTGGCAACACTCCAGGATACTATCTGCTGCCTTTGTGGCATGGGCATGTTGCTGGCTCATGTTCAACCTGGTGTCCACCCGGACCCCCAGGTCCTTTTCTGCCAAGCTGCTTTCCAGCTGGGCTGCCCCTAGCATGTACTGGTGCCTGGGGTTGTTCCTCACCATGGGCAGAATTTTGCACTTCCCCTTGCTGAACTTCATGGAGTTCCTGCAAGCCATTTCTCCAGCCTGTCAAGGTCCTTCTGGATGGCAGCACCACCCTCCAGTGCATCAGCCACAGCTCCCACTTTGGTGTCATCTGCAAACTTGCTGAGGGTACACTCTGTCTCATTGTTCAGATCATTAATGAAGGTGTTAAACAGGACTGGACCCAATATTGATGCCTGGGGTATACCACTAGTAACTGGCCTCCAACGAGGCTAACAGACACACACACACACAAAATAGAATCCAAGCATGATCCAAGATACTAATGTGGTGGTCAAGTTTTAGCACAAATAATAGGTAATTCATTCTACTGCCAAAACAAAGCCCCTCTGGATGTAGAAAAGCATCTTAGTCCTTCCTGATAATATATGTGGAAGTACATGTGACCATGTGATCAGAGGTTAATTCCCTTTGTGACAGCATTTTGCAATAGTTTCAGGTCATTAATCTCTTTCTCGTGCAGTTGTATGCTCCACTAGTGCAGTTGTATGCTCCACTAAGCAGTGAAGTGGTCAGGAAAAATAAAAGCATTTATGATCAGTGTTAGAGATTCAGTGCTAGCTGTGAAAGTATACTTCATTTGTTAGGAATTACCCGCATCCTAACTGCTATTCAGCCATCTTATCATGAAGAGTGTTAAAACATCTTGGTAATGTTTTCATGAGAAAAAACTCTTCTGCTACAACTAGACAAGATCCCAAGAGAAGTTTTTGATTCCTGGCACAGCTTTATTTCAGTATTTCTCAAGCAGGAGAATGTTACTGATTGACTCTTTCCTAGCCTACACTTTAATTGAATGCAAATGCATAAAAAAGAAAAGCAAAATGTTTCTATTTTTCAAATAAAAAGTGTATTTTTATGCTTTGAGACTATAATGCATTTATAACTTAATTAGATAATACATGATTGAAATAGCTGATGCAGTCTGTAACAATTTCAGTGTGTTTTGTTTTAGAAAGTGGCTGTGTAATTATCAGTGAGAACAATTCACTCTCTAGAGTGGTGATGGAAAAGAACAACTGGCCAAGAATAAAAAGTATATTTGATCATGGTCTTGGCTTTTAAATCACAGGATAAAATAATGTTCTTAATGATATCAGCTTGCAAGTTTTTTAGTGAAGCAGTTTTAATTTAATATTGCAATGAACTTTGGCAGCTAATAAAGAAAGCAAGCCAAAATAAATCATACACAGCCACGTCGTCTCCATTGTACTTAAAATTGTTAAATACTTTTATGATTTTGTTTTCCTTATGTATTTGAGTTCAAAACTAAAACCATAGTAATGTTTATAGTGTTTAAAGCTATAAACATGTAAAGAAAAGTTGCAATAGAATTAGATTCTATATACACGCTGTCTTTTCTATCAGTTTTTAATTGATTTGTATTTAGTTAAAATAATGTAATTTAAAAGTATCAGTATGTTGGTTACATGAGTTGGAATATCAGTAAGTTGATTGTCATCCATTTCCATTTATCTTACATATCAAAGATACTAAATTCAATTGTGTACACACTGTGTATTTTCCATTTTTGTTGATAATTTATATTTTCTGTAGGCTCAGTATTAAAGATTATGTCCATTTACATCTACTCGGTGCTATTAAATTTAAACTGGTCCACAGGGGCCTTTAGAAAACAGTGATTTATAAAGCTGTTTCTTCTGACTTTGAAGATACCCGGTAGTTCTTTTTAAGAGTGAAACATATTTATATCAGTGTACTGTTGCTATTTAGATTAATAACTTATTACTTCTGTTAAAACTTGTTGATCGTACAGCTTACTTATGCCATTCTGTTGAAGGTCTTGTGGATAGTTTAAAATTGCTGCAAAATTATCTTTCTGTCTTTATTTTGGTGATTGAAAATCGTATTGAAATTCTCTTCCTTTGACATTTCTTCAGTTAACAAACGTGTTGAACTGTCGATTCAGTTATAAGCTACAGATGTGATGAACCTTTCCATTTGAACTTCCCTGAGCTACAGTTCTGACCTCATGTTTCTAAATAAGTGCAGAATTACACAGATTTTGGCAACATGGTTTTATTGTTAATGGTAAAACAGTAATGATATTAACTGGGGTTTAGGTCTGTTTGGCTGGCTAATCATGTTGATAATTTTTTGTAAATTAATTAGCTGCAATGTTTAAAAATTATTTTTATGTACTGTAACTTTGGTATGTGGTATATGCATGAAATATTAGTCATTGTTTAATATCTGCATATGAATGTTATGCGATTCCAGCTCAGACTGTTTTTGGCAAATTAATGTGTTATTGTGCCAAAGAAAAATGAGTATATGAGATGCGAGGATTACAGCTCAGCTGTTTGTGGTATTACTCCACCCACTCAGTGATCTTAGAAATATCATTTGACTTCCATGTGTGACTGGGAACTGCATTTAAAAGCTGTCATTCATATTCATAGTGCAGGAGCTAAAATTTCCTCAGAAGCTTTTGAAGTTTTTTATTCCCGGTAGCAGTCACAGTATTGGCAGACCTGTCCATTTGTTTCCTACACCCTGTCATGGCAAAACATGGTACAAAATAATCTTTTCTGTGTTCCATGTGTGCTGTGTAGAGGGAGGGGCACTGCTTCGATGGAGTATCCCTTAAGTATCCCTTAAGCCGGCACTCCCAGTGTATACACTGCGTGTCAGGAAGACAGTGCACTATCATGCACTTATTTCCTGGATATGGACAGAGAAAGATGGGGAATCAAGAGACAAATTACTGAAAGAAAGGACTGAAATAGCATATAAAGGAAGAGGAAAGCCCATGCTTTTCTTTTAGACATAGAAATGCTTCTGGAACTTTTGTGATTAAATAGTACAGAAACAAAGAAATGTCAACATTAAATTGTGGTTTGTGGCTGTGGTGGTGTTTCATGGAGAGTGTACTTTAGTTTACAGCACATTTCAGAGAAGCTCAGAGAAATAGCAATTAACCCTGTAATGCTGAAGTTTTTATTAACTGTTAGTTGTTTCCCCCATGTGTATGTTTTTCAAATATATTCTTGTCTTTTCCCTTGCTCTGCCTCCTATATTATCTTCATATTTCCTTCATGCTTTTCCTGTTAATGCAGCCTTTTCTCAAGGAATTTGCTACTAGACACTGTCAGAACATACTAGCCTATGTTACCCTTGCCTGAATCTAGTATTTCCATTCTTGTGGTCATATATTATTTTCAATTGCAGTTACTGTCTGTTCTGCTGCATGCTCAGTATGGATGTCTGAAAATGCCAACATGCAGAAAGTCCTAATGGGTTCCAGCTAGTTTTCCAAGGAGGGCTTTCCCCCCCACCTCTTTAATTATAGGAAACTAAACTGCCACATGAATACTCCTATATCTATTTTATAACAATTCTCCAGTACCATTGCAAAAACTGAAATATGCAATAGCTTTAGGCAGTAAGGAATAAAATTATAGTACATTGAAGTTAAAAGAATAAAACGTCTAGCTACTCCTTGAAAACTCCAGAGGCCATCTAAGGAAAACAGAACAAGGACAATTCCAGCATGCAAAACTTCAGCCCGTTCTTCTCTAGACTGCTAGAAGTCTTTTCACTTGTTGATTCTCAGAGGTCTAGACAGATCTGCTCTTAAGTATTAAATTTGATTTTGGTGTTATTGCACAAGTGTTTCTTTCATGGAGTTTCTGAGATGACACTGATTTCACAAGTTCACACTGAAACCTTTATTTTCAGGGTAGTTGTTGAACCATGTTCCTCTAAAGCATCCTTGTTGATATGTCCCTCACTTACAGATTTCACACTTAATAGCTGTTGCCAAACATCTTGTTTAGCTGTTAGATATAGGCAGCATGTTCAGCTCATCACCTCCCTTGAACCTTCAGCACTTTCTGGTGCCACTATTTGAGATCCTGAATGGTCTCACACGCACACCGCCCCCCACCCCCAAGTTTGGCTTCTACTGAACAATGGTCCCCTGCGACCCCCAGCTTTTAGCCTTGGTCCTAAGAGGGACATTTCGTGGTCTGTTTAGAAATCCCCAAGACCTTTGAATTTGTTATTTACAACAATTAGGCCACTGCTTGTAGTCCTCAATCTTATTCCACTGCTTTTCCAACTGGAAACCTTTTGTTGACCAGAGAGGTCAGAGACCTCTTACCCAGATTTTATCCTATATTCCTTTACTGGATTGCCTTTTCAACCCAAACTTTAGCCTACCTCAAGCTAGTCTTTTTTCCTTAACACTGATTCTTTGCAGAAATTAGCTTAACATGGTTTATAAATTCATTTTTTCCTACTCAGCTTTTTCCATTGGCTCCGCTGCCTATGACAGATGTTCTGCTGTGGTTCCATTGTCTGTCCTTTTCAAACATTCCCAGTAGTTCCATTCTGTACTGAAATAATCATCCAGAATTTGAGAGGAGGAGTACTTCACTTAATATTGGCTACTACTTATGGTAGATTTTTTTTTCTTTTAGAACTTTTAAGTTTCTAGAAAATGCCCCATTTAGTGAATATTACTAGCCAAATGGAATTTTCATCTGTGTTCCATCTTATCAGGATTAACCTTTAATAATTAAGATAATACTTAAGAGATTCCCAGGAACAGGGATGAGTCAGATACTGTTGTATCTGTTGCTATAAAGTTTTTAAAATATGCTTCAGAAGAAATGGTTAAATTATTCAGTTTATCAGTAAAGCACCATTAAATATATTAATAATCTGAATAATGGAGGACATGAAGGAATGCAGTTAATAATACAGTGTGTTTGCCTAAGGATTCTTTGGCGTTCCTACCACCCTTAATAATTTCTGAATTTTTCCCTTATGTTGTTCTTTTATTTCATGTTAGCATAAAAGCACTGAGTGCTTTGTATTGCACTTCTGAAACAAAATGTGTGACCTTTTGGGCTTGTGGCTGAAGCACCAGAGGAAACCAGAAACACTGTAATTGTGTGCAGATCATTAAAAGAGAGAATTTTCTCCCTGGAATGTTCCAGAACTTCTTCCATGATAGCCAATAGATTTTTAAAGTTTTGGCCCTGAGTATCTATCCTGCACTGATGTATTTCTTAATGATCTAAGAGCAGGAGATTGGTCTAGGGCTTGAGCTGGGAATACTGAAGTTTTAACTCAGCATCTCCTACGTCTCCACCATGTGAGCTTGGGGAGTTACTTGTCCTTTCCGTGTGTAAAAAAGCGTTTATATATCTGTTTTTAAGATGCACTAGATCTGCTAGTTCAATAGTAACTGATACAAAAATTTAAAACCTATTATATAAAAGCTAAGAATAGTCATACAGTGAAAACAGCTTTTTTGTAAAAGAACTTTTAGCCAGTATATTATCTTGCAAGGAATTCTGTCTTTAGAGATACTGTCTACTTAGCTGGGGCATTTGTACAGCTCTGTTACCATAGTATTTGAATAATCACAGTTTTTAATCAATGAGTATTCACACGGACAGTTGTGTGATAAGGAGGTGCTATAATGTGCATTTTACAAATGAGTTGGGTGGAGGGTGGATGTTGAGAATGTCTCACACTTGTAGTGAGCTCTCAAAAGCATACTTACCTTCAGTTTGTCTGGGCACTGGTGTGTTGGATGCAGACCACAGCAGCCTTCGTGTGGTCCTCTTCACCTAGAAGTGATGTCATGTAATCTGCCTCAAACTGACACAACAACCTAAAGTGCTTCTTAGAAAGATTTCAGCTCTGCCTATTGCAAAAACCAATCAAGGCAAATACGAGCATGTGGAGCTGGATCTCAGGAACGAACCATGTCTTGGCTACTCATGGTTTCAGGCAGCTCAGGTATGGAAGAGGCAGAGGCTGAGTTATTCACTCAAGACTGAGCAGGAACACTGGTAAATCAGCAAGTAGAGCCCAACTTCTGGGTTTGAACCTAATCACTATAACAACTTCGACTCCTGTTTTTCTAGAACTGTATTTAAGGTTAGTCTTCGGTTTGATTTTTTTATATATAATAAACCAACAGGAAACAGATACAAAAATCTTAGAAGTGTTTTCTGGGAATATTTCAGGAATCTGATAGATAGAAAGAACAGTCAATACATTCAAGAAAAATGTTTCTTGGTCACAATCCTGCAGCACGTTCTGTCTCAACACATAAGCAGCTGTGTTCATACATAAGACAGCTTCTTCTCACCACATTATGTACATTTGTGTCTATTTCTACTTATAGTTCGAAACATTTGCCAAAATATTTCAAAAGAATGTCCAGAACAAATTGTCAGAGACTATTATTACTTGATGAAAGATGCTGTATAACTAATGTTATTCTGTAATTATTCACTGCAATAAACAGAAATCTTTGTAGCCAGATAGTCCTACACACAATCAGTATAATTAACAAAAAATGTAAACAACATGTTTTTCTTTGTCAGAGTATCAAATATTTGAATGTACTAAAAAAAAAAAATTCACATATTAGCCTATCACAGTGACAATTACACCATGCTTCTTTACTGTTTGAACTGATTGTTCTTTGTGTCGTTCCCATTCCTCATCATCTTTGTCCAGATCAAAAGTTTCTGGATAAATGGGCATCTTGTCTTTTGGGCACTCCTCATAATAACTTCGAACATATTTTCCGACAGACCATCCTTTGTATTCCTCAGGCATTTTGCATTCTAGGCCATTGTAGTGAACATTGTAGTGATGCTTCAACCAGTAGAAAAGATAATGAATGTTGTAGTCACATCTCCAAGGGTTTTCTCTCAGCCACAGTATTTTCAGAAAGTAAAGATCTTCCAGTACTCCATATTCAAAATTCTGCAAGCTGTTGTTTGATAGATCCAGCTCCTCTAAGTTATTGAGGCCTGAGAAAGCAGCTAGTCAATAGAAAAATAGTTATTGGGACCTTATAAAGATAGGTTAGGGAAAAACATGCCTATCTGCAGCAGGAAAAATATTTTCATAATTATACATTTATTAAAATATTTTGGCTAAAGGCTAAAAAAAAGAATTTTCAAACAGCAGACTTTAAAATATGGCTTGTGTCTTAAGTGACATATTGGTATAAACAGATTGACTGGTAAAGTTACAACCAGTTTACTGCTGGTAAAGTTACAACACACCTAATGAACATGCATGAGTGTAGAATACGGACAGTGAAGGTGAACAAATGCTTGATTTGCTCATAGAATTTTACTGGTATTGCTCTGATACTGAAGTAGAAATACGGAAATTGATTATGTATTGGACAATGTGCAGGGCTAGTAGTTTTTTTATGTATGTATGTATTTGTGTGTGTGTGTATAGAACCTTTAAATTAGTATTTTAAAATATGGAACATAATAAACATGGAGCTTCATGGTAATGCTTCAGAGTCACATTTCAGAGAGTAGTTCATACGTTTTGCAAGTATACTGTTACTTTTCATGGCGGAAGTCTTAAATTGACCGTGTAATGTTAAATCTCAGAAGTACCATTTTACTGATATTGCTACTTTACTGTTTAACTTCCAAAGTACTACTAGAGAAGGTACTTTTAGCGTCATACTTTCTATCTCTCTTTTCTTGTGTCTGCTTTCATAATTAAAAACTGAATACACATAGGTGATAAGGAAATTGCCAACAAGGCCACTTGAGTTCTAATAATATATAACTTAAGAGCAATTATATGTAGTGATTTTTAACCCCAAACTGTTTAAATCCTTTTGCTTTGTCTGTTACTTTATTGGCCATTATCATTTAAAAGCAGTCTCATTATATGACAAGTTTTCTTATATTTGGCAAAGATACTTAAAAAATCATTAAACTGTTTAACATTTTTGGAAATGATTACCCTTCGGTCTGCAGAATTAAATTTTTGCACTTAGTTGGTTTAGTATTAAGAAAGGGCAGCTGAAATCAGTCTCTCCTTGTTGACTTCCTAGATGAATATATTTCAGTGCAAAGCTTTACTCTGAATTGAGTGATACAAAGGTAAAATTTGCACCAGCTTCTCGATTTTTAAATCCTTTTCCCCTCTACATTTATATCTGGTAGAGAAATGATCATAGTTTATAATTAATAAAACACAAATCACTTTTGAAAGAATATTTAAAATTATTCTTACCAGGATCAATGTAAGCTATTCCATTACTGTTTAGGTTTAATATCTTCAGTTCACTGACATCTTCAAACTCTTTGGCTCGTAGTTGTCTAATTTTGTTGTTGGACAAATCAAGTTTAACTATATCTGGAGGTATGTTACCTGGAACTTTCTTTAAATCTTAAAAAATGAAAAAGACATAACTCATGTCAGCTTCAGATTATTCTTACTGCTTGGGTATTACAGTTGCATACCACACAGAGTTTTGTCAGTCTAGCATTGCTTCTTGTTTTCTTTCCCTTTATCCCCACTACCAGTGTCAACATGTTTTTTCAACTTCTGAATTTCATTGCTTTGTTCACCTGTATCTTTAAATTTCATGTGAAAATTGCTCTCTTTGTTAGTGCTTATAGTAAAGCCTCTTCCTGTGTTTGTATGTTTATTTTAATAGAACTATACTATTCATGTGCATAGGGATAGGGTAGGTAGTGAAAGTACTGTACTAATAAAAAGTATGTGTGAAGGGCTTGATCATTTAACAAAATAAAACCAGACTAACTATATAAAAAAATTTTCGTTGGTATGTGAAGATCTTCTATAATCAAATTATAGTGTTCTGTCTTACATCTTTTGTTGCCAGAAGGTAAAATGTTATAAATTTTATCAACAATAAAAATGCTAGTTGTTACAGTATTTATAGTAATATATATATAGTTCTGTAGTTACAGTTATGCAGTGGTTTAGTAATATTTAAAACTTTATATTTGTTACAATACTTATATGTGTGGGCAGCATAGCGTCATTCTGTCTATCTGCTTCTCTATCCTACTTGTATCACTGGCATTACCAAAGTAGCCAAGCACCTCTCAGTCATCTGTGTACATATCCTTAGAGTGTTCCATGCAAAAGAGTTATAGAAAGAATAGCTTCTTGTCCAGTAGTAAGGGCACATTCTTAAGAAGTCCAGACTGTGGTTTGAATCATCTCAGGATAATGTTAATTAAACTAATCTCCAGGATTATGTTTACTCAATGAATGTTCTAATCCTGGGCTGTTATTACAAGAAAATTAGTGGTATCTTTTTTTTCACCATCTTTGAATGAAAGCAAGTAGTTTCTGGATCTGTGCTAAAATTTGTGTTGTCAGTGTGCTTCTGAAGTTCCGAAGATGTCTACTGCATCAGATATTCTCAAGACTAAAGCAACATACCAGAGTCTTCCTGCCTTATATCTGATTTTGAGCAGAGCTTTGGTATTGTAAGTACATAAATATTATAACTATTCCAGCCTGCTCTGGTTGGAGTGCTTCCTGCTTGTGCAGATGTCAAAGTTTCAGGGCCTATTTATCACCAAATGAATGCAAATAATGCTTGAATTTAGAGACTTGGAGAGTTTGGCAGTTCTAGAAAGCAGATTTTTTTCAACTGCTCTTGCAAATACAAATACTTTTGCAGAAAAACAAACAAGTTACTTTTGCATCCAGCTTTTGTTGCTTTTTTTGGTAAAACAGAATCAAGGACATAGGGTATTTTCATTCTGAAGTACTTAAAGATTTGGTGTATCACTGGCCTGATGAGATATAAATAAGCTCTTCAAAAAGGAGAACATACACATGGTTATATTTTTTTGGAAGATGTTTCTTTCATGGGCTTTCCGACATCAACTGATAGCTGCTGACTTATCATATATCCTTACAGATACATAGTGCTGGTATACTGCTTGTCACTCCATCCCCTCAGTTGAAAAGGAATAATGGATTGCAACTTTCCATGTCATTTTACTGGTTTGGCAACTGATGCACCATTTTTTCTACTCTGAAATCTTGTCCATATGGGTTTTCCCAGGATTTTGAGTGCATACTCCTATTTCTGATGAAAATTCCAATGAAATTGTGCATCTGCTGCACAGTAATCATATGCAAATACACTAAATACAATGCTTTCATCAAAGATTACCATATGTTCAGAAATCCCACATGTCCATGGCATATCTGCATCCAGCTGTCAGGCATATGCACAGTAGATCTGATACTTCCTAAATAATATTGAACATTAAGATCTTGTGAAGGATAATTAAGATTGTGATCTGTAAACTAATAATTAAGATCCTATCTACAAGGAAAGGTAAGCTTGGTGAATATTAAGAAATTAATGAATGTTAGCCAGTAAAGAAGCAGAAATCATTAATAAAAAGGATGTCATAGCTGCATGGTAAAACAAAGGGAAAAGTGAGCCATAGAAAGAAGAAAAGAATTTAACAGGGTAGAAAAAAGTAAAAATGTGAGCCATTTCTTAGGATATACATAGTAGATAAGCCATGTAATCAAATACGGAAATCATTAATTCTTTGTGTTTAGGTATTGTCTCCTTATACTGACTTCTGAGCTTGTCTCTGGCATTAAGGTCCAAGAATAAGGGCACACAAGAGTTGTTACATAAACTTAAGTTAGTGTTAAAGCAAAAAAAATTAACAAATGCATTGCAAGATACAAGTGGGCAAAACATCCTGCAGTAATCCTGTATTGCAGGCTATGCTTCACAAAAAGTTGGGAAAAAATCCTCCCAATTTTGGCTGCTTCTAGTAATGCCTTTTATTTCAGATTTGTAATGTTAAAGAATGACTCTCTTCTGAATTGTTTTGTTGTTTGCTTTGTTTCATCATGGGATAAAATATGGGAAATATAAAGCATGAATAAATGTGCACTTTTGTGTTGATATATGCCCCAGCTGGTTTGCCCTTAAGGCTTAACTGTGGCTTTTAGGAGCCTGAGAAGGATTTAGGAATGGAATGGATCCAAGTGTCTGAAAACATTTCTTGAAGGCCCTTTAAGTTTGAAATGTTTGCTGGATGCTGGGAGGAAGATCACAGAGGAGGTATTTCTTTATGAACAAAAGCATACATAGAAGAAATCTTGCACAGAAAACGTGAGGATGCAATGGCTCTCCTTTGCAGTCAGGTTCCTTTGGGCATTGTAAGCACAGCTGGCTGCTCCAGTCCTGCTTCACAGCTTGCTTCTGTCAAAATTGTGGCTATCTTTGTTGCTACCTGTTTGTACACTGGAAAGAAGAAAAGACACTCTGTGCTTTTCTCTATCAGTACAATTTTAGCACAGCTGTAATTTGACTGATCAGTGTATTTATAGTTGTAAGATAGGACTAGTGAGATGCTGGTCCTTCAGTAACTTAAGTATGTGCTTAATTTTATTCCTGTTGATTTTTGCTGGATATCTTATACTGAAGCAGTAAAGAGTATCTGTAGAATTGAGGCTGCAGAGTAGAAGTAAAATGCAGAAAGAAATCCTACTTCTTGCTTGTAGTTACGAGAGAAAACCAATCAACTTAGTTAAAGTAAGTTGACTTTTGACTAAGTTGACTACTTAGTCTAAGTAAGTTGACTAAGTTGACGACTTACTAAGTTGACTTAGTAAGTCTACTAAGTAAGTTGACTACTTAGTTAAAGTAAGTAAAGTGAATGCTAGCACAGTATTAATTTGCTGTAAATAATATGTGACTAAATGTAGTAAGGGAGCAAGGATACTAAAATAATTAATTCAGTTATAAGGAGAGATACAAACCTTTTCTTTTGCAGTTCAGAGTTGGTACAGGAAACACATACATGTGGCAAAAAGAGGAATCAAATTCTGGTTTGACAGCTTCAGGCTTCTCTCTTTTTATGTTTTGGGGGTCCTGCCTGTCCTCTTCACTACATAGCTGTTCAGCTTTTATCTGCTTTAGCTTTTGATTTTTCAGTTCTATTGGGTGCACACACTTGGCATAATTTCCCAAATTCCTGTTTGTTGGGACCTGTAGCATTGTAACAAGAGTTTCTAGTTCACAGTTGCAATGCCAGGGATTATCATAAAGACGTAGGTAGTTTAGACTGGGCGTATAAATAAAAATCTCCTCAGATAAGCTCTTGATTTGGTTATGCTGAAGTAAGAGTGTGGTAAGTTTATTCAAACCAAAGAAAGCCTCACTCTCAATTTTTGATATATCATTCTGCTGTAAATCCAGACTTTTCAGTACTTTGTACTTGGAAAACATATTATTCTTCAATTTACGAATCCTGTTTCTTGCTAGCAGCATGTGTTTTAAATCCTCTGGCCAATCAGGTGCCACAAAAATCAATTTTCTTTCCTGACAATCTAGGTATTTCTCATGAAGATAAGTGTATATGTCACATGGTAGGCCTCGGGCATTGCGCTTAACAGGGCTAGGTGCTTTCCTTAAGATGTTTTCCCTTTCATTGTTTCTCAAACTCCTATTTCTTGTCTTCCTACAGTCGAATGTTTTACAAAGAAGAAATAGTAGTATAATAGTAACTACTTGCATCCTGACATTCAGCTGGCCCCAGTTATTTTCTGCGACAGCTGGAACAGTTGAAATTTTTGGATAGTCTTAGTGTTGCACGGATCTGAGGAGGCACAGCTGGGGTATGTGGGATCCCTGTGTTGGAAGAAAAGTAAAACATTAGAACAGATGAAACAGTCATTTTCATGGAGACTTGTGCATAATATGCATCATTCAGTCAAGAATTCAATCATCACACTACTTGGAGCTTCACAAATACTTTGAAGATTTAATGTCTTATTTTTTTGGTCGTTTTTACTGTCTCTGGTCTACTGTCATTCATTTTGATTAAACATGGGAAGCTATATGGACCAATTTCTAACAGAAGGTTCCTATGTATTTAGTAGAATGGCATGAGGCTGAATCTTCTTTGTATTTAAGTTCAACTGGAAGATGAGCCTGAAGCTGATATTTCCTAGCTTTCTGGGTGTTGACCCACTGGAACATGTACAGAGACAGACCAGGGAAAGTCATCCAGTGCATATGAAACCCCCAGTTTTAGACTGTGCTCAAGTGTGGACTTGTTTTCAGGTTGAGCCCCGATTTATAACTAGCCCTGCTACTACTAAGTGTCTCTCATGGCCCATGTCGGGTAGACAATGTTGGCTGGACTGCTTTGAGAAGGACCCAGAATGAATATTTAGCAAGAGCCTGTGAGGCTGTATGTCATCTGAGCGTAGGCAGAGTGCAAAGAGAACCTACAGGTCCTGGCCATGGCCTGCTTCAAACAGGTCTGGCCACCTGAAGAGGGAGAGTACAGAGGGGTAAGCCAGGAGCTTTTGCCTTTCCAAGAAAGCCAAACACAATCATTAGTAATTATTATTAGGGGAAGACAAGGACTGCTCCCTGCAACCATGTCCAAAATCGCCTCAGTATTTTCAGTAATTGTTTGGTCTATGTTCCCTCCTCAATTTCCCATAGTACTCCTGTGCATTGCCCTTTTCCTTCATTTTCAGGGAAGTTTGGCCACAAGGTTGTGTTTCCTTAGAAACATTTTAACCCCTCAGGTTTTTGTATTTTCAAACTTTTTTCCATCTCACAAATTTCATACTTTCGCTAGTCACTATCATTCCTTCTGAAACTTTTTAAAAATTCTTTGCGGTTTAGCCTAACTGCTTAGTTACTTTTTCTCTATGACTGGTGGGTATCTTTGCACTGTGCTCAGTCCTTTTCGACCTTAGCACCTGGGAAGGTATTGAATCCCAGTCTTGAGTGCAGATGATTTCACAGATGTTCTCTTTCTAAAACACTGTTGTCTTGGACTCCAAAACCTTGTTTTTATCTAGAGGAAAGGTGGTGCAATAAATCAACTAATACCAGGTAAAATTATTTTGAAAGCAAAGAATTTTTTCCTTTTTAAACTAAGTGGTAGATCAGTTTAAACCACATCTCAGCTGTAGGGTGCTCTCAGTATTTGTGCAGTTTTTACTCATTAGACAGATGGAGCAGTCCTGTCTATGCATGCTACTTCATCCCTCTAATCCATGTGGCTAGTGGCTAGTCGTTAATATTACCTTTGAAAACCAATTGATTGGTTCCCCATTTTGTTCCTGTAGTTGCCAGTTGTCTATCTGCATTCAGATACTCTTAGTTCACGGTGTGAATGAGTGTTTGCATTGACAACTTTATCCCTTACATGAAAAATGAAATTTTATTCGTTACTTTTTGGCAGCTATAGGCTAGTCACTGTAAATTGATCTTGTGTTTTAATAACGAATCATAACTGGGTTCCTCTGTGTTGTTTTGAACTCTTCACCATTCTGGTAATGTGATAGCTCATTCTATCCAGGAGAGCTCAGAAACAGAAAAAGAAGAATTTAGGGGAGAAAAGGTAATAAATAATTATGGAAATGTTCTTTCCATTTTTTTTTTCCATTCCTTTCTGTCTCCTGGGTCTCAACTGAAATTTTTAAATTAATATTACATGCCGTCTGCTAACTAAATTATACTCAGCTATAATTTTCAGTAGCATGTATAGGTTCACATGTAAAATTATAACTATGTCTCCTTTAGTGCTAGGGCTAAAAACATGTAAGAGCTATGTCGTTTTTGTGGCTTAGCAGCCTCAAGGATGATTTTAATTGGTTAGGTTCTTTTGAGTTGTACAATCTCTGTCAGTATTGTCCTACTCTTCAAAGAGGCATTGAGTTTTTATGGGATATCAGTGAAGTTACTCTCCCCATAGAAAAGAATATACAGATCTATTTTTTACTGATGCTCGACTGCAATTCAAAACATGTATTTGGCTTTTGATTTGAAAATATGCTTTTAAAGACTTAAAAAAAATTATTTCTTCTAACTTTATAAACCTTTCATACTGCATTTTCCATATTAGGTATCTGTATCAGGCCTATTTTTACATTTCAGTTTAGACAGATCAGTTATTTTTGAAGATTAGGTTAAGGCACAAAGTATTACTATCTTTAAGAGGAGCTTGTACAACTTTACCTTGGAGGATAGACTCCAAATTTGGCAAAATACTGGCTGAGGGGATGTGTTGTTTCTAGTGTCATATATAGATCTTTCATTATTTTGTTAGAATTGCAACAATCTCTGCAAAACAGGAGTTTCTAAAAATAATACATTATACAGAAGAGATTGTCTCAGGCAGCTAAATTTTCTGAAACTCCATGCCTGCAGAAGATAAGCAGGGCTTTACCTACAATTGTTCTGATTGCTGCACCTCTACTTTCAGAGGGAAAAAACTCTTCATATATATAATTAGATACTAGTGTCATAATATATGGGTGGGAGGGACAGATAAAGCTATGTGGAGAACTTCTCTGGCATTTCCTAACACCAAATTGCTATGATTAGGTAGCTTTCTGGTCCTTTGGTAACATAAAACTGAAAATAGCTTGGTTCCTAAGCCAGCCATTAGTTTAAGCAGTGTAAGAGACATTTCCTCAGGACAGCTTACTCCAACTTTGTATTCTAATTTTGGGTTTTTTTACTTTCTTCTCAGTAATCTGCTGTGGCCATGGTTTCAGGGAGGATATTGGCCTAGACAGACTGAGTCTGTAATAGGAATTCTTATGTTTGTGTCATACATTGAAAATTTGAACTGATCACCTTTAATATGATTTTTTTAAAAATTATTTTTTAGGTGAATGTAAGAATTTGCAAGACTTAAATCTCTCTGAATGCCAGGGATTAAATGTAAGTGCTACAGACTTTTCCCACAAACTAATTTATACAAAGAAGGAAGATTTTTTAAAGTGATGTCGTTATTGTCGTACACAATATTGCTGATAAAAGTAGAAACTTGTGTTCTTAAGTACTTTGAAAACATAGTTGACTAGGATTCAGAGATACTCAGTGAAGTTCTCATTTGTTTTTTACAGTGCCAGGGCTACATTTTATATCAATCTCAATTAATTTTAATAAATGGGGTTCAAAACCTCACCAGTCTGGGGTGGTTTTTTCTGTTTTTTTAAGTTCATATTTGTCAACAACAATACTTTTTAATCATAAAATCATAGCATAGTTTGGGTTGAAAGTGATCTTAAAGATCACCTAGTTCCAACCCCCCTGCCATGGGCAGGGACACCTTCCACTAGCCCAGGTTGCTCACAGCCCCGTCCAACCTGGCCTTGAACACTGCCAGGGAGGGGGCAGCCACAGCTTCTCTGGGCAGCCTGTGCCAGTGTCTCACTACCCTCACAGTGAAGAATTTCCTCCTTATAGCCAATATAAATCTACCCTCTTTCAGTTTAAAACTGTTATCCCTCATCCTACCACTATACTCCTTGACAAAGTGTCCTGCCCCATCTTTCCTGTAGCCCCCTTTAAGTACTGAAAGGCCACTCTAAGGTCTCCCTGGAGCCTTCTCTTCCCTGGGCTGAATAACCCCAACTCTCTCAGCCTGTCTTCATAAGGGACATAATTCTATATTGTTTTCAATTTCCTTTAGTCCTCCATTCTGTAGTACACTTGAGCTCTAAAAATGTCTCGCTAGATTTCAAGATATTCGTGTGAGCCTTTGTTTGAAAGGTGTCTAAGTATGCAATCACTATTATATATTTGTCTATTCTTTAACATTTTCAGTTTTATCTTCCTTCCATTAATTCTCTTTAATGTTTTTGCATTGCTCTTCTCTGATGGAAAACCGGTGTTTGACTCTGCTTTAATTAGATTTCTTAGAAATGACACCGGTATGTGCAAATTTTTCTAATAATAAAATCAATCTATAAATAAAATCAATTTTTTAAAAAAACTATGGTTCTTAATAGATTCATATAATGTATACATCCATTTATAGGCTATTTCTAGTGTTAAGTACATAAACAAATAATTTGGTATAGTTTGTTTGTCTTTGGAGTGAAATGTACATCAAGGGCCTAGCCCAGAAACATGCCAATGTTTACACACAAGGTTTTAAAAATTACCACAGATAAACTGCACCTTATGAACTTAATTCAAAAATGGCATATGACGGTCAAGTTAAAGAGGCAAGAGCTGCAGAAGAATCATGAGGTTCTAATTTACTATAATACTCTGTTTTGGTTCTGCTTTACATATATCTTCATCTCTGTCCTATGTTGATATTAGGTTTATTGCCAAATATCTTGTTCTCACTGTTTTCACAGATTATATAATTTGCTTTGCTACACCAGCTACAAGGATAAAGATATATTATATTATGAAGTTCTTTGAGTAACATTGTAGAATTACCTTGCTACATAACATGATACTTGCTATGATATTATAATTACAGCGTAATATTTAGAGGCTATATGCTTCTTAAGGATCATGTTGATTGTAGGTTCCTGCATAAAGGCAGTAAGTTAAAGAGGGCCAGGTCTTGCCAAATTGTAAAGACTCAAACACTGTTTCATAACTGTCCATTCTGTTTGGTTGTTACCATGCTTGCTAATACACGTTTGGTGTGTACCAGCAAGAACATCCCTGGGTGATGCCAGGGCCTGGTTCATGGGACAGCAGGGACCTGCTGGTTACACTGTGCCAACACAGCCTAGTATGCAGTTGGCCTCTTTTTTCAGAAGGGCACACTGTTGACATTGAAATTGTTATTGACCAGGACTCTCAGGTCAGTGTGTTTGATAGCTGCTTTCTGTCCAGTGTCTAGACTGTACTGGTGCACGGGGTTATCCCATTCCGGATGGAGGACTTTGCATTTTCCTTTGTTGGACTTCATGAGGTTGCTATTGCCCATTTTTCCAGTCTAAATCTCTCTGAATAGCAGTTCTAGACTCCAGTGTATTGACACTCCTCCCAGTTTGGAATAATTTGTGAATTTGCTGAGCATGTACTCTGTTCCCATTTATAGAGACATATAACAGTAATGGCTCCCATACTGACCCTTGAGGGATGCCAGTTGCCACAAGCCACTGATGGGACTGAGCACCATTGGTGACAACACTTTGGCCTGGCAGTCTAGACAAATTTTCACTCACCTTGAAGTCCACTTATCCAGCATTTATTTTATCAGTTTGGCTGTGAAGGATACTGTGGCCTGTGTTGAAGGCCTTGCTGAAGTCAAGATACATAACAACTGTGTTTCTCCCCTTATCCATAGATCTGGTAATTTCATCATAGAAAACTGTCATGTTTTTGAGGAATGCCTTGCCCTTGGTAAATCCACACTGGCTGTTCACTATCACTTTTTCATCCTCCATGTGCTTGGACAGGACTTCAAGGAGGATTTTCTACGTATAGTAGTTTCCTGGATCCTCCTTGTTCCATTTCCTGAAAATGGAGGTGACATTTCCTATCTTCCAGACGTCAGGAATCTCCTCTGATTGCCACGACCTGATTGCCATTTCAAAAATGAGTGAAACTTTTCAGTGACAGGAGTCAGCTTTCTTAGTACTCTTGGATGCATCCTATCTCATCCCATTTCCTCAGGTGCTCCATGACATTATCTTCTTCTGCCATGGGTATTGCTTCATTCCCACAGACTCTGCTCCTAGGCTCCTGGGAGGCACCTGGAAAGCCTTAAGACAAGCCTTAGCAGTAAAAACTAAGGCCAAAATGTCACTGAGTACCTTGTCCTTGAAGATCAACCAGTTCTCCCGGGCCCCTTTGCCCTCCACGGCTGTCTACCATGAGATCTTTCTAAGCTCTCAAATTCAGGTTTTTTCTTCTACAGTATGTCCAATTTTCTTCTCTCAGGATTTTAAACTCCTGATTTTCATGGTTGCAGTAACCAAAGTCACTCTGGTTCTTTACAGCCTTGACCAGTTTTTCCTTGTTTGCAAAACAAGTCCAGAAGAACATGTTCTGTAGACCACTCATCAGTAACCTGGATCAAGAAATTGTCTTCAACACTAGAAGTCTCTTGGATTGTTTGTGCTCAGCCATGTTGTTCTTCCAGCAGAGATCAGAGTGGTTAAAGTCTCTCATGAGTAATGAGGATAGACAATTGTAAGGCTTCCTTCAGCTGCCCAAAAGTTTCATCTACGTCTTTTCTTTACCAAGCAGGCTGTAACAAATACCTACCACAATGTAATCCTCATAGGTCTAGCCTCTAATCCTTAGAAATAAGCTCTCGACTGATTTTTCACCCATTCAGTGCAAAGCTCCACGCATTTAGGCATAACTTTGCGTAGAATGCAACCTGGCCTCACCTTCCTGGGTTGTCGTTCCCAAATATTCTATAACCATTAATTGCAGCCTTCCACTTCTGTGCGCTACCCCTTTGCATCTCTGGAATCCAAATGAAATCATAGCTCTGCACCTGTGTGTGGACTTTTATCCCTACTGGTTGATTCCCATAGTACAAGTGTTTGCATTCACTGGAGATGGACCCCTGGTTGTGCTGCTTTCACATGGAAGGTGTCAGAGATTTTTCCATCATGCTATCTCCCCAATGGTTTCTCACCACATTCTGTGCCTTCAGTTCTCTTCAGGTTATGGTTATCTTCTGTCAACATACCTATTTTTACTGATAACACCTTTCTCACAAACTTTGCAGCAGGAATTTCAAAAGCACAAACTGTCCTCCTTAAAGTCGATTGGTATTGAATTTCTAGCTACCTTGATAGTCCTTTTGCTTGATAACTGAAATAGTGAAAATGTGGCTACAACATGGCAAGATACATACTCACCTACTGTAAGTGCTGGCGTTATATAAGTGCTGGCTTTTTGCTTTTCTATTGCATTGACATATATTATTGTGAAACTTTCTTCATACTGGGAGATTTGTTCCCATTATATTCTAATGGAATGATATATAGAACAATATAGGCAGTACCACTTTTGCAGGTCAATAAAACATGGAGGCCTTATAATTACTCAAGCCTAATGTTCCACCTAGAGAGTAGAACTAAACAGGAAGCATTTTGTAAATGATATTACTGGTTAGAGAAGTGTACCAGAGTTTATGGAGAAAATTCACCAGTGGTTTTAGATACTCGGGTTGGCTAACAAGAATCTTGGTTTTGCAAAATACGTAAGCATGTGCTAACCTTCAATCGTGTGAAAAGTCCCCTGTGCTCCGTAGATCTGTATAGTGTATAATGTTTCCTTGAATTGGACTATTAAAATTACCATACTTCAAGCAAGTAACAGTAGCATCACATGTCTCTCAGTAGAAACTTTGGGGCTTCCAAAGAAAATGGCTGTGATTTATAAAAATTATGATGATGTTTTAAAGATACTTATTAATACTTTTTCCCTTGTTACTCCACATAAAAATGTGAGATAATTGAATACAAATATAATTTGAATGTACTTCTGGATTATTTTTTTTTTTATTATTCAGGATGAATCAATGAGACTCGTATCAGAAGGCTGCAGAGCTCTTCTCTATTTAAATCTGTTGTATACAGATATTACTGATGGAACACTACGACTATTGTCAAGGTAAAATTAAACAAATACAAAAGTGTACTTGTTTTAATCTTGCAGGAAACTTAGAGTTATACGTAGTAGAAATACTCTTTTTGAGTGATATACAGGATTCTGTCTGCTATACAAAATGAAAAAAATGCTCCACACCATTGACTTAGATAGCAGCTCTTTTCTTTTTTTAGTATAATTAAAAATATATACTAGATTAACCTGTATATTTCACAGAATTTTACAGAAACTTTTAAAAGACCATGCTAGCTAAAAATTTCTTGTGCATGTCCAGTTACTCATGATGACGCAAGAAGTTTGCAAATTAGATACGTTCTTAAAAATTTATTTTGCAAGAGAGGGTTGTGGATAGGTGTATTGTGTGGGCTAAGGCCTCGTGTGACAACTGCAAAAGAAAGAGTTCTTCCAAACTCTTATTTGGAAGATCATTGAGCTGACTGCAGAGAATTTATATTTGTACATATGTCTGCTATTGCTGTTTTAAATGTGTTTATCCATGAGATTCGGAGTCTGCCTGGTAGGTAGAATTGCTGCATTAAAATCTGCCATAAAGGAAAAGAAACATGCTGGTCCACGACCACAGCCATCACAAAGATGTATATAGATTTGAAGATAGCTATACACTGTTTCTCCTTTCAACAGCAGCCCCACACAGTCCAGAAACATGTTTTTCTTTGGCATTTACATAATACATTTGAATTTTTTCTTAGTCTATAATGCCATATCCTCATATGTTTTGGCAAAGTTTTCCATTTAGAGTCTCCAGTCTTACCACTCATCTCTTCATCAATATTATTCTTTTCATAATGTGTGTTTTCTCCATGTTGGCCGATATTTCGTCTTTTTAAATTTCCATATATTTCTGTTGAAGTTTGGAACAGCTGTTCTATAGGTAATCTCAGCATACGTTATTCTGGTTACCTGAGTGTGCTGTTGCCACCACAAGTCAGAACTGTTCATTTGTTTTGATGTGTAAATAGTATGTACACAAGGCAGAATTCTCCAGGGTAGGTGAAGCTTTCAATGCAATAAAATGTTTAAAACAAAAAGAAAAATTATCTGCTGACAAAATATATTTTGTAGTTAACTTTTACCTAACTAGTAAGAAATTTTCCCAGTCACACATGATGCTTCTGATGTAAAACCATAAAGTACCACCATTTTTATTGACAATGTTTGGACAAAAAGCAAAGCTCATTGTTTCTGAGACTATGGGGATGTACAAAAAGTTGCTGTCCTCTGAAGATACTGATAGCGGACAAATTTCATAAACATTTCGCATGCCATCTCAAAAAGCATTAGCTCACCACAAGTCCTGTTACCACAAGGTGACTAATACAGAGTTCTAGAGGTGGCAGTATTGCATTTCATAATACTGTACATGAAGTTTGCTGTTGTATACCAGATGTCTGTTATTGGAACAAGGAATAAGTGAAGTGTAGGCTGAGTGTGCTCAGAGTTGTTTGGTAATTTTTTATTCTCTCCTACTGTTCCATATGAGCATTTTAACCTCCATATTACACAACACAGATCATCAGCTAAAACTTCTCTCTGACAAGTTCTGTTGTGTATGGTAGACAGGAATATTGTCTGTCAGGAATAAATGTCAGAACATGATTTTATCAGATTTCTTTAAAACAATGATCCTGAGATTGCTAATGCCAAAATTAATTGAAAAAACAATATTACAGGATTTCTGCAGAATTTAGCTGTAACACAAACCAAGGATTTTTAGTAGTCTGTGTGTTCAAGCTTAAGTTTTAAGAAAGCCGTCACTTTAAAAATGGCAGAAGGCAGCATGTGTTAAAATTCCCAGATCATAAAAATGAGTCATATGACCTGTAAAGAAAATCAGTGTCTCTTCAAAATTACTGGAAGGTTTTGATCATACTCTTCAAAATGCAGTAAGAAAGGCTTCCCTGTGTCTGAAGTTGTGCAACCTTGTTGTAACGTATACTTTAAAAACACTCAGACCTGCCAGAGTATAAGAACCAGTCTCTTAATTTATTATCAATTTCGTCAGGTAAGTTTGGAAGCATACTCTCTCTCAGTTTGATTTTCCCCACTCATTTCTGTGGAATATGTCACTGAAATGCCAAAAGGCTTATTCTACAAAGAAGGATACTTTTATTTCTGTATTTAATATGAATTAAATGTTTCAATTAAAAAAAAAAACCCAAACCACACACCGCAAACACAATGCCCTTATATTCTAATATCTGGTTCTGATGCAAATTGTGTCTTTTTTTTCATTAAATGTAATCTTACATTTAATTTTTTTTTTTTTTACAATAAACTTTTTTTCCAGGTTCCTATCTCTTTTTTGTATGTATTCAGTTAAGTTAGCATGTTTCCTCACTTTATATTGAAAGTATAAAGTCAGTTCAAAAATGTATGCCACTCCTTAAGCAGTCTTCAGTGGGTGTTCCTATCTTTCTTCAAAATGCCTACTTTTGCTGACTTGCAGAACTGCATCTCCCTACAACTAAATGTCTACCAGAGCAGTAGGTCCTAATTCTACGTTTTGATTTTATGTATGCTTTCATTTGTGGTGCTTGTGGCAATTGTTATTTATTCCAGTTAGAAATGTAGTTCAGTAAAATGAATGGTTTGCAGTATGTTATAAACCAAAGCTGCAGATGGAAACTCAAATATATTCAGAGTATAGATTCTTGCTTTTACAGAGGGCTGTTGATTAACATTTTCCAGTTAGTTTGCTTTCTTTTAATTGACATTTAGTATAAAGAAAAGTTTTCCAAAAGAACTGAGCAAAACCTAACACTGGATGTTCACTTTTGGATAATTCCCTTTTGTATCTCTTTAGATTTTTCAGATTCTTTTAATAGCATTCTTCTAAATAATCGAGCAGTTGAGACTTGACAAGTTCTAACTGTACATTTATTCTTTTAACGTCCTTTGATAGAATTCTAGTTTTCATTTCCAGCAGGCACTGCTTGTAAAATCAGTGGCAGACAGTCCAGCAAACTTACACTGAAAAGTCTACTAGTTTCCAAAGTATGCGCACAGAAATCCCAATTAATTTAAAAAGTATGCTTTTGCAGTTGAGATAACTTTAAAATGATACTGTATTCATATGGTGAGATATCTTGTATGATAGTGCTGTTCCCCAGTAATTCGCAATGCAAGGAGCAGAGGAAAACGTACAGCAGAAGAAAGGGACTTTCAAACTTCAGCAAGGAGATAATTCTATTTCATATCAAACATCTTTACAATAATTGTCAGAATACTTTACCTATGTTATTTTATGTTTTTTGATTCTGTATCATACCCTTGTAATAATTTGCTCTCTGTTTTGGTTTTTTTTTGTTTTTGTTTTTGTTTTTTTGCAAAGCAGCTTCCCCAATTTACAATATTTGAGTTTAGCTCACTGCAGAAAGTTTACAGACAAAGGTTTACTGTACCTGGGCACTGGAAAAGGCTGTCACAAGCTCATCTATTTGGACCTTTCAGGTTGCATTCAGGTTTGTAGTTCACGTCTTTCTTTCATTCTGTGAAGAAGAGAATCCTTTATGTGACTGGCTGCATCCTGCATTCATGGTATACTGAAGTAGAACAAGCACTGCAGCAGCCTTCCAGGGTTTTGAATTACATGACTACACAGCTGTTTAAATTTTACTAAGGAATAATAGCACTATAGTTTTGGATGGCTTCCAACAAACTGCCAGATCTATAAACAGCTAGTACTTACTGCATAATGAGACTTGCTTTTTGTAGCCATAAATAGACTAATTCTGTGTCATGATTTGTTAGGATTTTAAATCAGAAGCTTTGAAAATGCAGTTTTTACTCAGATATCAAAAAAATAAAAGCCACTCTGCACTGGAAAAGTACAAATTTACACTTGATTTCCTGAGAAGGAAATTAATTAAAAAGTGAACTTTTGTTACTATTTTATAATGGTTTAATATATAAATTGAAGTAGTATTTATAACTGCAATCTAAGAATAGTTAATGTTTAGGATTATTTTAATTTCCTACTAAACATCTAAAGAAAACCAAGGTTTTAGAATCTGGTACTATTTTAGAAACTTTCAAATATATACTGTATCTTGAAACATACTTCAAAAGCAATGTGAAGTGCCAAACTGTAAGGCAATAAAAGCTTGCCGATGTTTTAATAAAGACTGCCATGTGTATTTCTTTATACACTTAGAAGATTCTCCAAATTGCAAAATACACGTGAGGTGATAAAGAGATGGAGTCTGAGGAATAAAACAGTTTAACTTTCCATCTAACAAAACCTTTTCAGAACCAAGGATGAAGGCAGATAGGGCAGCAGTCTGCTCTTTACGGTGAGTGTCTGTTTCTTGTTCCTGAGAATCGTGCTGCGACTATTGTGTGGTGATGGTGTGAAGTGTGAAATGAGGGCTGAGGTTAGAGGGAAGTTAAGAACCACCTACCCCTAAGTTACTTTTTCAAAATGCCAGCAATTGGTTATTTTTTCCAAAAGCAACATCCCTGCTTGTTCAGAAGTGTCATCATGAGCTGTAAGGATCTGCCTCTAGAAAGCATGATCTAATAGTAGTCAGAGAAAAGTGATCATCATCGAACCGGGAAAACCACAATCCTCCCCTTTCCAGAGGAAAGCGTGTTTGCTCACCAGTGTATTTGAGAGCTCTGAAAGGAATTCCACAGCTTCCTCCATTTTGGGTTTCCCCACGAATCTGGAACAGTTCTTAATGATTATGACTGAGTGCTTAAGTAAACAGTTAAAACCAAAAAGAGCATCGAATTGCATCACTGTTGCAGAAAGCATTTTAATAAGATATAATTCTTTTTCTCCTCCCTCACTGGATGAACTAAACCAAAGAAAAATTCTATAAGGCTAATGTTTCAGAATTAGAAAAATGTAGTGAAGCTGTGTGATAAACATTTAAATTCTGCTAAAAAGTGGTCTATAAAACAGAATATATATTCTATGGAACAAATTTTTTCCTCTTTTTTGATGTTTCCTGTTTTTCCTACATTTTAACATTACAGTTCTTTTTATATGAATTCTTATACTACCATTACTACTGTAGGATTTGAACATTTATTTAGAAAGTCCATCTGTAAAATGGGTGATTATGCTAATGATTTTGCGAGTGGCAACTTGAGGACCAGGGCATTTAAATAGCTTGTTAAAATATAGGCAGAAAAGTGGGAATTAAGCATGCATTTTCTATTCTGTTGTCATAAAACAAGGCAGTCTTTCCTTTGAATCTTATATTAATACATGGTAATAATACTGGATGAATTGTAGGTATGGATTTTTTGCATAAAATCTTAGTAATTAAGGTTGTGTCGTTATGACACACATGGTAAATATTTTCATTAATGAGTATCAAGATATTTTCATAACAGTATAGAGGTTCTCTCGTGTCCTGCTCAGAGGTGTCCTATCACACCATTGATATTCTCAGAGAATTACCTAGAAAGCGTAAGATTTCTTTGTTCTGCTTCTGGGACTGAACAATATAGGTGGAAAATTTTCTGCTATAAGACACAAACCTGAGAAGACATATAAGAGTATAAAGCAATTGTATGTCATTTACCGACATATTAGATTGAGATTATCCAGCTAGAAAAGTTTGGTGAGAGATATTTTCAGCTAAATTAGAAACATGGAGATTTTCAAAGAAATGGACTTTTTATTTTTGGTGACTACATCTATGGCGGATTTTCAGACTGGAACTATTCTGGCCCAGAAATGTGTTAGAGTGGTCTACCAATCGCTATAGTTTACAACAGCTGGATAAGAGATCACAAGCCACTGGGAAAAATAAATTTGACCTTTTCATTTCTTAACATCCTGCAGTGTTTGTGGGGATGTCAGAGAAGCAATTGGCAAATGGGTAGGCTTCGCCAGTTTTCACCATTTTTGTTCCTCCTGCTCTGGCTTCATTGGGAGAATTCTTATTTTGGCAGCTACTGTCACATTCTGGCATCTTCATACATCTCAAGCAGCAAAAATGGGCCATCACTTGGGCAGAAAATCTGACCCATGTTCTTTATTTATTGGAGGGCTGATTACATTTCCTGAGTACAAACTCGTGTAACTGAAGAGTACTTTATTATAAGTTACACACGCACTAGTCTATATTTTAAGAAATATGCTAATTCAGGAGTATGTTAATATAAGCTTTTTTTGGACAGTGGAAAATTAAAAGAAAAATAACATGTGGAGGCAAGCCATCGATATAATGTGCCAAACATCTGAAAGGATGTCACAATTTGTTTTATCATTCTTGACAAACACAGAACAAAAAAAGAGATAGCCCCTTGTGCAGCACAAGAGTACTTACTCAATCCTGAACAGTGGTTTTCAAGTTTCTACACTCACAGTGCATTGACCATACTAGATCACAGAACAGTGTTTCTTCAAAATCTCTTCAGTGCTGCAGACAGCATTCTCCTTTGCAGGGTGGATTCCACAAAAACAATCAGTTCAGGGGGTTAAAGAAAGGATTTTAAAGCAGTACTGGATGTGTAGCAAGTAAGCCAAAACCTGAATAATAGAATTAAGAAACTATACAAAGATGGAATTAAATGAATTTTGACATTCTTACAAGCATTTCATCATTTCACTACATGTATTTTCTAAATCTATGGGGACAAATCTTTAGCTGTGGTTTGCTCCATGTTTGTTTTGATGTACTTCCATTTCAGATCACAGTATACTAGCATACAGTTAAGAAAAAAACACAAATCAGTAACTTACACGTTAGACTGAAAACTCACAGCCAAGGAATTCTGTTTTATGTACGATCATTGCATTGACTTCTGATCCGGTACATGCAAGAAAAATAATACATTTTAAAAATGATCTTGCTGAGTCATGCAGGAAAAGTCTGTTTTGCCGAATTTTATGGGATCTAAGACTTATAATAACCTTCAAAACATCCTCCCTCACAACTGGTTTGAAGGAGGAGGTTTAAGTGGGATTTTACTGATCCGAGGCAAAGAATGCAGTACTAAATTCCATATGTATCCTAACACTGATTCTCAGGTCAAGATGGTCTCTCTTGGGGCAATCTGCTAAACATTGAAATTCCAAGTGAGTTGAGAAAGAAATTGTTTTACTAAATACTGCACAAAATTTCATATTTCTACACCTTATCTTCAAGAGAGTCTGAAGTTTCATAGATAATCCATGGGGGCTTTGGAAAAGAAATTCAAGAAAAAGATTTTTTTGTTCTAGGAACAAAGGAAAATAAGTCAAATACATATGATAATGCAGCAGCATCTAAATGTTGACTAATTTAAACCGAATCTTATCTGAATGCATGTTTTGCACTGGATCTTTCTCAACCTGATGCCTGAGATCCGTTATTCAGCTTTAAGTTAAAAGGCAGTTCAAGTGAAAAAAATTTGAAACAATCTGTTCAAGGGTATTATTAGCTGCTTCATTATAATTGTTTTTGGCTTGCATGGAGGAAAACATTAAATTGTTGCTATTTGTAGTATCAAATGGCTATGTTAAGCAAACACTTTTTCCAGACAAACAGATTAAAAGTCCTTTAGACTGCAATTAACATTCTGCAATCATTACTAAATTCCAGAAACAGATATGCTACTCTGTCCTTCAACATTGTTGAGTTTGATCTGATTACCTGCTCCCTACTATCTATCCTTTTGAAATGGGAATTTCACTTAATTTTAGGTGTTTAACCCAAGGTAATGCCTAGAAAATTACCTCAATTTATCTATATAACAATTAGAGAGGGATAGAGGTCTCCAGAGGTCATTCAGACTTTTTCAGGCCTGATACACCTTTGAATCTTTCTTACTCTTTGCTGTACAAAGATCCCAGGTGTCATAATGGTCTAACACAGACACCTCAGTTATATTCCTAATTTCAGTGGAGTAAACAAAGGCTTTAGCATTTGCAGTCTATTTTAAAAATCAACAGTATTATTGGAACTTTACTGACTTAGCATTTTTCCTACCTTTTTTCCCTGATTTTAAAGTCCCCTCAACTCTACAATTATTAGAACAGCCTGTAAGCCTCACAAATACTGATCTTACTGCTCAGCTAAATGACTAACATTTGCAAAGTCAGGAGCTTAACATTAGGCTTCTGAGTCTGCATTTAGGGTTTTTTTCAATGATATTTTAAAAATCTTGGCCAAAGGAACAAGTAATGTAATGTAACTAAGATCCATCATTTAACTGTATTTGCATCTGAATTGTAGGTACCTATACATGAGGGATCTTGTATTCCTACTCTCTGTATCTAACTGTGATCACCAGCCTACGTAGGCACTTAACAATGTGGGTTTAGTTAAAAAAAGCCAAACTCAAGAACAATTGGCAGCAGGCCCCATTAAGCCTTATACCTTCCTTTGATTAGCAGTCATAGGAGTAAGTTGTAGTTGGTTACAACTGATACATGCATTTGAACTGAGTCTTACAAAATCTCTCCAGTTTGAGCAATAAGCATAGCTTAATATGGCACGTTCTGCATTATCTCAGCTTTTGAGTGACTGTTCCTTTGGAGCAGAGTTATCCTCATTATAGCAAATCTGTTCAGCAGTTACAAGGGGAAATCCCACTGTCCTATAGTTAAAGCATACTCAAACTGCTTAACAAACTGTGGCAGATTTTTTAGAAAAGTGAAAACCTAAGTGTTCTTTTGAAAAGGCACCATGTTCAGGTTATAATGGACAGTGTTATTACCATGTATTACAAGAAACCGCATGATGTAACATACCCTCTCTTCTCTTGGGAATGCTTTGCTCTTTGTAAGTATATGGAACAAGAACAAGACCCAATTACCAGAAATTCACCTCTCAAACTGAAATTTCTAGGGGGTGATTTGTTTCACTTTGACATGTTTAATTAGTTGATGTGTGTTGCAGACATGTGTTGTCCTCTGTTGCTGTGCTGCTTGAGAGCCAATGATGAGGAGGCCTGTTGCAGGGTTAGGTAAACTCTTGCTTGAATGGATTGGTCATGCCGTGTTAAAGCAACTTGTGCTTCTTGATCAGCAGAGAATGGAAATTTCCCAATACCTCCCTCAGGCAGCTGTTTGCATGATATTCACAGTTAAGTTAATCCCTTTCATACAGACCAGAGGTTATGGGCTGAGGAAACTAGAGATGGGATTGTACTACATTACACGTACCAATAGTGAGTACAAAACTGTAGAATTTGGACAACTGAATTTCATACTCTGTCCTGAGAACTATCAGCCATCTTTCCATGCCAACATTTCACATTCTAGTGATCACTGCCTGTTGAAAAGAGGATTGCCTTTGCCACAGTAGCACTACACTAGTACTGGTTGTTTTGCAGTCATTTGAGGTGGGCAAATCCAACCTATCCATGCTGATGGGTGAGATCTGCAGTACTTACCTGCAGAGCCTTGCTGATGTTACCCACATTAACCAATTCCCAAAGTAATGGTGTCCTTAGGTCCAGCAGACATGTCTCAGTTGGAAGGTGCGCGAGAGCCTGGAGTTCACCAAGAGGCTCTACATGCTTTGACCATTTTGTAGTTACAAGATGGTTATTCTTCAGTATAATCCTTTTCTGCAGCCTTTCCTCCTGCCTCCCAAGATTTTGCTCTTTTTCTTTCTTTAGCTCTTTCTTCCAATATGGCTGTTTTCAGAGGAGCCTGATCCAGGGTTACACAGCTGCACCATATCAGACTGACCTTGAACACAGGCAGCTGAGAGAGGGTAGTTGATGAGATTTATATCATCATGCATTACCTGTATAATATTTCCTAAGGTTATTTTGATGGTAGGGCTTTCACTTTGTCTTCTTGCAGGCTGTCACAGACCCCCTATAGGAAAAACATTCAGGCTACACCTGTCCTGAGCTTAAAACACGTCGGACTATTTGCATCCATAGTGCTAACAGTGCCAGTGTGTCAGGAGCCACACCACATTCTGTTTGTCTGAGCACAAGAACTACACAAACACATCAAGGCTAAGAACACATTTGACAGACATGTAGCTAGTTCCCCTCTGGTGCTGACACCACCTTGCACAGGGGAGAAAGTGCAGAGTGCCACCATCCCTTATGAAGGAGAGACAAGACATTTAACATCAAAACATTTTTAAAAAATTATAAATAATATCTTTAAAAGGCCACTCCAGCCTGAAAATAAAGAGCAAGCCAACCTGGCCATAAGTTAAAAGATGGGGCACTATGCCAGAAAAAAAAAGACAGTCTGCCTTGATTGTAACTTGAAGTCACTCAGTTCATGAAAAAAAATCTCACACTCAAAAAGAACCCAAACATTAAGTTTGCGAAAAGAAAAGCCAGAAACCCAATGTGTTAACCACCTCACTCAATGCTAGGGTGGAAGGAAAACAGGCTTGGCCCTTGTTTCCACTGATAAGTAGTTGTGGGGAACAGTCAGATGTGCTACAAAGGCTGGATGGAGGCTGCAAGTGCCAGAACTGAAAGCGTTTTCTGGTGGACTGCTACTGCACTGACGTGTGATGGGTGATTAGCTGCTGTTAGCTTCTGGCTTGCTTTTCCGTGACTATCTCTTGTCTGCTAATGGTGACCACTGTCTGGTTACATATATAGCCTAAGCAAAGCCCGTGTTTTACACTGCCACTCCCTTAAGCAATGTAACTAAGTAAATCAGGCTTCTGCAGCAGCTGGAGAGGTGGGGTACAGCGAGAATCCCTCCCAGTAGACTTTATCTTTGAAGTTTCCCCCTTTGGATTCTTGTCTCCAGAGGCCTTTTTTGGTACACAGGAAAACATGTCAGACTGCTTTTTTGTAGATGTTTTGCAAATGAATTCCTGGTGCAGAGCACGGCTGTAGTCTGAGCTGCACAAGACTATTATATTATGCAACTTCAAAACCCTGGGAAATAGTGAGATCTCTACATACAAATACCACAGGGGACTATTTCATGGGGAGGAATCGTTCACATCCATGTTGTCTGTAGAACATGGGGGTAAAAGGAAACTGTCCTGTGCTTTACACAGGATTTGTATGTCAAAGGAACTATTTCATATGCCCAGGAGTGAACTGACATCTATTGAATTTGGGCAGTTGAAGAGCTGACTCCCTGGAGTAACTCCCCGAAGTCACTCCCTGCAGTGATAAAGGGATTGAACTGAATTGACAGGTCCATCTGTCCATTCAGAGTTTCACTGAATATTGCTCTGTTAGAGTATGCAGAGTTGGTGGTGTGGTCCTACATGAGGGATTCTGTAAACAAGATCTGTGTTATTGTGATTGCATAGGATTTGCATTCCATCTGAATTTAGCACACATTTTACTATGGATCTGGAAAAAACAATGAAGGCAGTTTACCACACTCAAACCTTCCTTCAAACTAGATGTGAGCACCTGCCATGTGCCTGATAAGATTGGGAGAACAAAGGTAGAAGGATGTGACAATGACATTCATTGCTACTCCCATAAATGGTGTTGGCTGTAGAAATTGTTGTGCCTTACTCTAGCTTGCTTAGTAGATACATTTTTGGAACAGATCCTGGATTTGGATGATGATGTTAAAATTTCAGAATTATATATAGATCACGGGTCTGTTTTTCTTTTAGTAGGATTAATGCATATCTTGTTTTCGTGGGCATCTAGATACCTGTGAATTTGAAGTATTGAAAAGATCTCAAGCCTTTCCTAGTATTGCTTTTGTTAGGCTTGCTGAGACGTAAATATTTTGTTTCTTACTTAGATTTCAGTTGATGGCTTCAGAAATATTGCCCGTGGCTGCAGTGGGATTCAAGATTTGCTAATCAACAAAATGCCAACTCTTACAGACAGATGTATTCAAGTAAGAAATTGAAAATAAATCTGTACTTTGAGAAACTTTCTGATATTGTAACTGGGAACTCTCAACTAACTTTAAAGAAAGTTATGCAGATACAATTTAAGAGAAAAATTTCTCCTTGAAAACATTTTTTTTAAACTATTATCTAATTATGTTTATAAATCTTGCTCACTTGCAGTCACTTTCAGAAAATTTCAGCTGTCTTGTCTTTTGCTACATGGGTAATGGCTAAATTATGGTCTTCCAGTTTATAAGAGTTTTAAATTTTTTTTCAGTGTTAAGCAAATATAATATTTGGGCAAAGCATTCTGCTACCAATTTTTGACCATCAAAAAAGAATTTTAAAGCTCCTGCAAAAGTGATTGTTAACTAGATCTCTGTCTCAGGTGTCTGCCATACTTCATGTCTCCAGTTACTTACTTTTCCTTGTGTTCCCAAACATAATAAACATATGGAGAATTTCAGTAGTTTGTATACTGCTCACTGGCTAGAAGTTACTGTTAACATGGGTTATAACTATTTGCTTGAAACTGTAATATTTGGTATTATGTGCAGAATATTTGCTGATCTTTTTTTATGTGATGGCGTAAGTATATGAATATTTTATTTCACCTTTTTCCTTTTGAAGGCTCTGGTTGAAAAATGCCAACAGATAGTGTCTGTTGTCTTTCTTGACTCTCCACATCTTTCTGATACAACTTTTAAAGCCCTTGCTGAATGTAAACTTGTCAAGGTCAGCATTGAAGGTTAGTATAATAATTCACAAAACAATTAGGAATATGTATTTTTAAAATTAACCCAGATAATTTGAAATAAATCTTTCAGCTGACTTCAGCAGGTTTTGGATCAGGCCCTTAATGTATGTCAGATGTGTAACTTACATCTTTACATATTTCAACAGGGAATAGCCAAATTACTGATTTAAGTTTCAAACTGATGAGTAAATTCTGTCCATACATCAGGCACATTCATGTGGCTGATTGCCAGAAGATTACAGATGCTGGTCTTGAGATGATTTCACCATTGAAGCATATTCTTGTACTGAATATAGCAGACTGCATAAGGTACTATAATACCACTTCCAAATTTCTTCAAACCATTGCAAAGGAATTTTATTAAAGTTAATTATACTTGTAATGTCCTGTTAGCATATCTTTCAGTTTTAAAAATAAATTCTTAGAATGTTAACACATGTATGTTAATATGGAAAAAAATACTTTCTAGAAGTAGGGTTTTTTCCCATGTCATGTTTTCAAAAATCCATTCATTTTCACTTCAGTTTAAGCAAAACAACTGTAGATGTAATATTACTTAATGACCATGACATATTTTAGTGCTGGAATGTGGCTACAAAGAAGATGAAAATGATAACCAAAGACAAATCCAATGCTACAACTCTATTAGGATTTGGATACTGTTTAATTTTTTGAATATTAAAATAATACTTTCTAACTATCTAGTACTAAGATATAAACAAAACTACCAATTTTTTACAATTACCAAGACAACATTGTAATTTATGTTGTAGAGGAAGCATATATTTTATGTGAAGACTGTTTTCTACTTCAGGTGTGTCATGTGTCAGTAGAAACAAAGACAAATGGAAGGGCTTCCCAAACTGCGCGCTTGTTCCCTGTTTTGTGGTGTGGTGATGGAGTCAAGGGTGGGAGGGAACAGGGCAGGCAAAACCTCCAAACATTTCAAAATCATCAGATCTATAAAATAATACAAAGAAGCTGAATTGCTACTTATCTTAAAATTTCTGATGTCATATGAAGTTTTAGGGATTCTGCTTTAATGTGTAATGAGAGCACTTTCTGTGCTTGTTAATGCTGTATAAAATCTGATAACAGTGCGTGTAGATGAGCTGAGAAGTGCTGGAGTAATACCATGACATCACGTTGGTAGTTCAGTGGGGCAGATGGGACAGCTGCCTGCATTTTCTGGTTTAACATTTAGAAGGCTGGATTTTCCAGTCTGGTAGCCAAATCTTGGGCTGTGAGTGTGTTTGCACATGTGTCTACTGTCTCTACTGCTAGAGAATTGCTGAATTGCCTTAACAAAACTTTTCAAACAGTTGTGAAGCTATTGTAAAACTCGGTGCTTGTATTATTGATTTTGCAGACACTTGGCAAAGTTTCAGCATTAACAAAGTTATAGATTGTAACACATCTAAACTTGGTAAAGAGATTCAAGAGTGATGAAACTACAAAAGGGGGATGCTAGTATTTGTGTTTCTCTTATTTGGACAGCGTGTTGCTTAAAAGTTCACGTTGTGAGTTAGAACATTTAGGAATTTCCCATAGAAATCATGGGAAGCACCATAGTGGTGGTAGATTCTTAACAGATTTTGAAATGCTTAGCCATCTTAGTGCTCTTAATCAGTTTCCTTTTTTTCATTGGCATTGTATCTTAGTCTAAGATTCTAATTTTTCTAACTTAAGTGATAAGGACATTTTTTTTTGTGAAATGAAGGGAACAGAAAGAGCAAATGTACCAATTCAGAATTCTTAAGTTACAGGAAGTATATATTTGACTACATGTGAAATATGAAGAAGGAAAATTGACTGATCATGATTATTAGAATGATGAAATAATTGAATTTGAGTAAAAACATGTCTAAAAATGGATACAGGCAATGTGGTGGCTTATGCCCTTGGCACATTTTCCCAATTTAAGTATGTTATCTTCATGTGATATGATAAAGCAGTATGTGGCTTGTATTCTTACACAGTTAGTCAGCTGACTAGAGAAAATTATCATGTGTATTCACAGCACAATTATTTCATCCCTCAAGCCCAGTGTGGATAGAGAATATTTTTTTTTTTTTTTTTTCTTTTTCTTTTTTAAATTCAGTTGACTTTATTGTCAGGATCTGCATCCCTTATAGAGTCTATGCAAGTTAGTTATTCTGTATGCTTCTTAAATTTATCTTTCTTGAATGAAAAACAACTGCACTGTGAAATAACACCAAAACTACCACAGTTGTTTCAGAGTGATTAACAGTTTATGAACTATGGCTTCATCTGTAGCTTGTGGTCACACAATGAGGCTCTGTTCAGGTTATCATTTTATTAGTAATGCTATTCTTACCCATATGTTTCGGGGACTTTGGGATTTGCAGTGATTCTTTGTGCTGCAACAAACTGTGCAAGCCAAAATATGATTCTGTCCTACAGAATTCTGGGATTAATTTTTTATTCATCAGGGAACACAGAAAAAATACTGGGAATGTGTTGAAAATCTAAGTGTACAGTAATGTTAAATACCAGAGATACGAACGGTATTGAAACACCCAAGTTGTAGTCAGCTGTCCAACCCTCTCAATTTGGCTGCAAGATTTTCTGTCTACTTAATTTTTATAACCTTTGTGTATATTATAAATTAGCTGTGTTTGACATTATATGCAATTAAGTGAAACACTCCAAAGATAAACTCAGGATAATTCTCCATGCATATGTACAGACCAGCTACTACACACATATAACGCCTATGACTTTTGCTTCTGTGCTAGAAGACCATTTTTCCTTTAAGCTCTTTCAGTACCTTAAATTAACAAAGTTATTAATACAAATATTACTCTGAAATGTTTAAACAGGTTCTGATACTTTCTAGATATATTTCCAAGCTCTGTCTTTTGGAGTGCTGTCATATTTGAGTGTTGGCACTAGTGGAAGTTCCTGTAATTGCCCATAAACTTTTTTTTCAGAAAGTTCTGGTTTTCAGCAGTTCCAAAGAGCAGCATCTTTCTAATCTAGCCATTAATGATTCTGATCCTTTTTGGGTTTAAAAAGGCTATTTTAAAAATGCCATTATTAATTTCTGCTTATTTACAATGTAGACTGAATGCAAATTGTATATTGACTTGTATGGAGTAGGAAAAATACATATTATAAATATTGTCTACATTTCTCTTTTAGAATCAGTGATGGAGGTATAAGGTCATTTGTACAAGGTTCTTCAGGAACTAAGCTAAGAGAGCTGAATTTGACTAATTGTATTCGTGTCACTGATCTTTCTGTCACAGAAATAGCACAAAGGTACCATAGTCCAGTACAATATTTTTCTAGTGTCGTTAGACTTTCAACATACTTCTAATGTTATTGTTCTTAATATGTTAATAAATGGGTAAAATTATGCAGCCAATTATATACAGAAATTGTACTAGCTAAATGACTAGTCCCTTTTGGCGTTGTGAATCTCTGAAGAAATTATCTATTATATAAAGGGGAGTTCATCAATATAAATATAGAAATCTGAGAAGTCTTCATTTTAGGGGGAGGGAAAAGTGGGTAAATGGTGGTCGTCAGTGATATTAAAAGATTAGCATGTATAAGTTACATTTTTGTAAACTCAGTAAATACCGATGTCTGCACAAGCAAAAAGCACTCTATTGCTAAACTGCTTCAATTCCAGTTGCTCAGAAGCAGTATTGAGTAGCTGAGCATCACTGAACTTAAACGCACTGTTTGAGGAGTCACATTTCTCAGGTTGTCTTGTTGGGTTATGGGAACATATAGTTTACAGTGCTCACTTACGCAGTAAAACTCAGTCTTCCATGTATGGCCAGTGCTGTATCTGCTCGTTTGCAGAACGTGGCAGCGTGTTCATTGGCTGTGTACCGTTATGTGTGTAGCTGGAGCTGGATGTGGGTACAGCCATGGGGTCCTGAATCCTGTCACTGCAGTGAGCTTTAAAGTTCCTCTGCAAGATATGAAGGATTTGGAGATGGGGACAAGACAAGTATCAAATAAATTTTTAAAATACTTTTACTTGTTACACAGCTGCTTGATTTTCAGATTTTGATTTAATTGCTGTTCATGGTTTGAAGCATTTGCAATGTTTGTGCATTATGAGTGTAATCCTTGTAAGTGCCTATGTAAACTAGGTATCAGAAGTCCAGTATAATTCCATGGGTCTAGAGTGCTTATTTTCATAAGTTCCCTGAAAAACACTTAGCAAGGTTTATTACAAAAACGTACTTGCTATACTACATTTCTGTAACAAAAGTGGAAAGATGACATTTGTGTTTGTTTTTTTTGTTTTTAAATTTAATTTAGATGTCATGAATTGACCTACCTAAACCTGCGTTACTGCGAAAATGTGACTGATGCTGGAATTGAAGCTTTGGGAAATATGTCATCATTGATATCCATTGATCTCTCTGGAACCAGCATCTCAGATATGGTGTATATACTGTCTCTACTGCTAGAGAATTGCTGAATTGCCTTAACAAAACTTTTCAAACAGTTGTGAAGCTATTGTAAAACTCGGTGCTTGTATTATTGATTTTGCAGACACTTGGCAAAGTTTCAGCATTAACAAAGTTATAGATTGTAACACATCTAAACTTGGTAAAGAGATTCAAGAGTGATGAAACTACAAAAGGGGGATGCTAGTATTTGTGTTTCTCTTATTTGGACAGCGTGTTGCTTAAAAGTTCACGTTGTGAGTTAGAACATTTAGGAATTTCCCATAGAAATCATGGGAAGCACCATAGTGGTGGTAGATTCTTAACAGATTTTGAAATGCTTAGCCATCTTAGTGCTCTTAATCAGTTTCCTTTTTTTCATTGGCATTGTATCTTAGTCTAAGATTCTAATTTTTCTAACTTAAGTGATAAGGACATTTTTTTTTGTGAAATGAAGGGAACAGAAAGAGCAAATGTACCAATTCAGAATTCTTAAGTTACAGGAAGTATATATTTGACTACATGTGAAATATGAAGAAGGAAAATTGACTGATCATGATTATTAGAATGATGAAATAATTGAATTTGAGTAAAAACATGTCTAAAAATGGATACAGGCAATGTGGTGGCTTATGCCCTTGGCACATTTTCCCAATTTAAGTATGTTATCTTCATGTGATATGATAAAGCAGTATGTGGCTTGTATTCTTACACAGTTAGTCAGCTGACTAGAGAAAATTATCATGTGTATTCACAGCACAATTATTTCATCCCTCAAGCCCAGTGTGGATAGAGAATATCTTTTTTTTTTTTTTTT